ATATTATGCCTTATCTTACTTTGTTTAGATGTTCTCTTTTTTAACGACTCTTTGCTCAACCCCCAAACTATTATATTTTTCGTGTTTTTTGTTGTACTTGCTTAGTTCTGTTGCCAACATCTTAAGGAGATAAATTGTTAGCTAAAGCAGTTAAATGTTGTTTCTTGGGTTATCCTGATCACCAAAAGAGATATAGATGTTATGACCGATCGTGACATGTGGTATTTTTGGAGCATATTCTTTTTCATTTCCCTCCACCTGCTACTAACTCCTCTTCTACTTCTTTTCTGGTCCCTTTCTCCAATGATGTTTCTGATGTATCTAGAACCTCACCCATACCTCCTACAGATTGTCCGATTGTAGAACACTCAACTACTACTAATGAACCACTTCAGACACCTGCACCTACTGTTCCTGGACATACGCCTTCAGTCTGTCGTAGTAACCGTGTATCTGTCTTACCTACTCGTTTTGTTGATTATGAAACCTTTTTACCAAACTATCGAACCTTTCTTATTTCTGAAATGAACTTGATTATTGCTTTTTGTGCAAGTTTATTATTATAATATGAACTGAATTGAACCGAAACAAAAGACATCAAAGAGTTTATAGTAAAAGAAAGAGTAGTCACAAACTTTGGTTTAAATCCCACACCTTTATATGCAGATAACTCGAGTGTGATGAAGATTGCATCAAATCCAGACTTTCATGAAAAAACAAAGCATATTAATGTGAATTGGCACTACGTTCGTGATCGCTACCTTGATAATACTTTATCTCTCCCTTACGTTTCTTCTACTGTGTAAAAGGCCAACGTTTACGCTAAATTAGTAATTTGAAAACACCATGATTTTCTCATAGACAAGTTAATGTTCTACTCATGCCCGCATTAGCTCGAAGGAGGGGTAATAATGTGCATATAATAAAGTATATAATTTTCACATGTATTTTATTTGTCCTGTATTGTCATTGTATAATTCTTTAGGATTGGTTTGGTTTAAATCTAAATATATAATATATATACACCCTATTAGGGTTTCATTCTTGGTTAATGTGAATTTAACATAGATTCCATTCCCCTCTACATTTCTCTCTGTACCATCTTTACTTTCTTGAAATCTCTCACAATGTTCCATCTCTTCCACTCATCTTGAGAATTGATGGTTGTTAACGCATTGTAAATTCTAGTACAAACATGTGCTTGCCCAAGGTTTCAAAAATTGCTGAGTCTACTTGGAATCGTTCAAGTCCACTCCAGACTGGCCGTCACCGTACTGGTTCTCTACAAGAATTGGGGCAATGCACCCCATGTACACCCTCTTTTCTACAAATCCGAGGCATTTGCAGTCTTTTTTATCTCTTTTACAAGTAATTCATCTCTGCCATATTTGAACCTCCATTTTGATTGGTTTCTACAAAAACTAATCTCTCTTAGCCGCCTAAAACACTTGTTTTAATCAAAAGTTTCTTTAAGCACAATTTTTATATCAAAATATCACCATATTTTTAGCCTCAAAACCCTATTCACCTTCTTTCAATTTTTCTCTCATTTCTCAACCAAATCATTTGTAATTTGTTTTAAATTGTTTATTTGTGAACCCTCTAATAGTCCCCTATAGCAATTTATTGGATGGAAAAAACAAAATAGAAGAAATTGAGTGACTAAATTTAAGGAGTTTTTTAACCCAAAATAATAGATTTTTTTACTTCTCTCACATTGTTTCACCAAATTCGTTCAAATTTCTCCTAAAAAATTTCTACCACATTGATTCATCGACCTGACTTTGGTAACCCGCTAATGAGCCCCTGCTTGGACTGTGGATCATGAGAAACATTGGGTCGGTTCGATAAAGCTAGTGTGGTCTGTAGTCCACAGTTGAAGGTGGAGTACCCCATTATTATAGATTGAATTTCTAAAACCATATGGATCATTTTCCCATCATATTAATTTAATTGTGTTCATTTTATTATTGAAATATTTTTAGTTTTATTATTTGAATTTTATGAATCTCTCAATATTTTAATTATAATTTTTGAAGTTATAAAAATACAGTTATTGATTTTACAAAATTGTAAAAATTCAAATATATATTAATTCATTTTATTTAATTTTAAAACTTTTTATAAAATTCTATGGGTGCCCAAAGTGCACATGGGTCCACCATGTGGCATGTGGGTGGGGGCCCATATGTGCCACAAAGGGGTGGCACGCCCCACCCTTTGGATACTCTTTAATTGCTTTGTGTTCAAGACTTTGAGTTATGGTAACTTTGATTTGTGGCATGTGGTCAAATCTTGGAAGGAAAATATTGATCATGACATATTTTGTTTTATAGCAAATTTGCTTTAAAGGGATATGGTCAATTTGAATAGATAATAAATATTGACCTTATCTTATTTATATTTGGTAGTATTTATTTACTTGATAATATTTGACATATCTTTATGGAATATGTGAGATGGATCATACGATTTTATGGAATGCATGATATTTATTTTATTTAAATATATTGATAGGAAAATGGTTTAAAGAAAGGGGGATAATGGTCTAAGCACCTTCCATAATGTTGATGGCCCATCTATGGAATAGATGACTCATATCTCTTACCCCACAAGTCACCTTGATAAATGGTTTAGATTTAATCTCATGAAAGAGGCAAACTATAGGAAAACCCTAAGAAACCCTAAACTTAAATATCCATTATAAATAGAGGTGCTCTCCCCCCAATCTCTACACACACAACCTCTCTCTCTTCTCTCTCTCACCTCTCTCTCTCCTAGAGGGGCATGCCCCACTCTCTCTCCCCTATATTTCTGTCTCTAATTTTCTCTCTCTAAAATCCTAGGTAATACTCTCTCTCCTCTCTAGACCTAAGTTAATTTTAAGGGTTGGAAAAATTAGAGGGGGCTAAGTTAATTTTGGGGGTTAAGGTTTTGTAGAGATTTTAAGGGGTGGTTACCTTGTTTGGCCGAAATCAACTATCCCGGTTCGAGATTGAAGCTAGACCATAATTAGATGTGGTAACTCGGTGTGGGGTGTAAAAAGCTCGGTTGAGGTAATCTCCGACATCTTTTCTTTTATTTGTTTGTTTTTTTATTTAATATTCTCAAGCATAGTATTAGGTTGTATGCATGGCATCAAGTAGTTGAGGTTTATTTTATTGATGTGTTATTTATTTTTGGAATTTCTATTGGTTGTAATAAGACCATCTGTGGGTGATCTTGTTGCCAAAATTATAAAGGGTGATTATTATTAAAAAAGAAATTGTATTCCCTAGCAAAAGATCATATAGGTCTTTCTTTCAATGAACTCCGGACAGTTTCATCTCATAAATTAGAATAAAAAAGTATAAAAACTATTGAATCAAAATCCCCAAATTTTGGCTAGATTTTTCATCAATTGTTGACAAAATTCCACTAAAACACTCATCCAAATTAGTGCTCAAAGACCATCCAGATTATAACAATTTGTACACAATCACAAATCCCTAAAACAGTGCTCAAAGAAAAACTCCAATTAGAGCTCAATCCCCAAACCTAATTCATGGTTGGAAAACTTGAATAAGGGTTTTATGTCCACAATCTTCTTCATCTTCTCTGGGATTTTGCATCCACTATCTTGTTGCTTTGTGCATGTGGCTGCTTTTCTGTGCTTTCTTCTCACCCCCCTCTCTCTCTTTCCCCACTCCAATATAACAAAGTCTTTTACATTGCCCGTAGTTATTTAATATGGTGTTAAAGCCTTTTAGTGTATTTATTATTAATTGTTTGGCACGATGTTGTTTAACTAGAAAAAGAAGTGGCGTGTTTAAGATATTCGAAAAATTGTTTCAAGCGGGCTGGACCACATTCTTACATATGCGGTTTAGAAAACGTAAAGCATTTATATTAAAGATGGATGCAAGTAGCTGTTCCATCTAAAAACAATAGAAGCTAAAGGTCCAAATGTTTTCTTGCTAGAATTATTATTTCTAGTTTTTTAAAATTTATTTATTTATTCATATTCATGATCCCTATGTTAGAGATTATGTATTCTTAAAAATTAAGTCTTAAAATCCATCTAACAAATAGATTTATTAAGAGGCCTGCATTTCTACATGTGTCGGCTTGGCCGCATAGAAACCGGGTCCAACATATTATGTTCATTGCGAATTGTTTGGTACGATGTCATTAAAGCATTTAATATGTGGTGTATGTAATATGCTGTATTTATCTCTAAATATTGTGTGGTGTTTGTTAAAAGCCTTTTTATTTCTATAATTGTGTGTAATTCAATTTAAACACATATTTACTTTCAATTCTTTCATTAAATAGCGTACCATGCTATTTTATACACATTAACTAGTTAAGTTTGTGGATTTCTTTGAGATAGTTTATATGAAGAGCATGAATCCCAAATGTGTGCATTAAAATATTGCTTATTCATGAATATATTCTTACATTTTTAGATTATTTATTTATAGATGTGTGCTTATATATTCTATATTTTTGTTTTATTAAAAAAATAGTAGTTAGGTCAAAAGATTATTTTTGAGATTATTGTGATGAAAGTGGAAATAAATTATATTGCAAATTTTGTGATGAAGATTTTCTGGAAGGATAACAAGAGTCAAGTATCACTTGTCAAGAGAATAAGGGAACAATATAAATATCACTTGTATTTAGTTTTGGACGATGGGATGTGAGTAATGAGAAATCTAAATTAAGTGACTTAATTATATTAGTTTAATAAAGTTTTTATGGATGTATTACTTATTACTTTAACATATTTTTAATTTTGTAGAATTTTAAAATTTAAAAATTTTAAAATTATTCTATTTTTTTTACTCTGTATTTTTAAAGCCCTATTTTATGTATTTGCGGCGTTTTTACATAAATTATTTTATATTTTTTATCAATTTTTTAAAATAAAATCAATTTATTTTGGATTTTATGGGGAGTCGGTATTCCCAACTTGCTATGATACAAACCACACCCACAGATTTATACCCGAATGTTGTCTCTCTCTTCCCAAACGAGGAGAGCTTAATTGAAGTAGTAATCATAAGAGCGACGATTTTAAAACCTTATCACCGGTGAAGAAGGCGTTCGCTTCACCTCCTCCCTCCTTTCCGGGAAACAGACGACACAGAGGATAGATAGTGTAGAGAGAGAGGAACCAGAGATGATGGGTTGCCTTATCCCGAGTGCGACACCAGTGGACACAGCATGCGCCTGCTTTGTTCGGCAGAGAATGGTAGCATCGCTACCTAAAACCCAACTTGTTTCTTTCTCTAGTGCTGTTCCCCAATTTCATCAATGGGAGAGGAGAGAGAGAAGTAGAACATGGCCTTCTCTCTCTATGTATGCTGCTGTTGCGGTGCCTGTAATGGGGGGCAGGCTGTGGGCTGTGGAGGCTGTTACTGATACGGTGGAAACACCAACTTCCCAAGAAGAAGGAGAGGAGGAAGATGATGGTGAAGAAGGAGAAGGTGCTTCTCTTCCCACTCCTCCCACTAAGCTGAAGACGGGGAAGGCCGCATTGCCACTCAAAAGAGATAGAGTAAAACCTCTCTGTCTATGTCTACTCTCTCCATAATCAAAATCTTTCTCTACTTATTTCTATCTCTTAATTTCATGTCAATTGCCTCTTACCCATTTGTCAATTTGGGATTGCCTCCTGATGCTTATGTTTTCTCTTTTTTTTTTTTGAGAAAGTATGAATAAATATTTATATTTGGGTTTTTCTTTTTAGTTTTTAATCTGATGGTCCATATTCTTATATAGGTATTTTCATTTTTCTTTTTATAACTTGTATTTTTTCTTGGGTCCGTATTTTTTCTTGGTCTCCTTCCTTTTGGTTTTCATGTAATAACTTTTATATTTAGTTGTGTTTCTTTCCTTTCGGTTTTGGGAATTTTCGTATTGTTTTTTCACGCAACCATTTGTTTCTTATTTTGTTTTTTGTTTTCTGTTTTTTTTGGTTCTTCATATTATTATGTTGGGTATTCTAATCATTTTTTATGTATGATTAGTATGTTATTTGGGTTCCTCTTTTGTTTGTTGGATTTACAGCGTCGGTCCAAAAGATTCCTAGAGATTCAGAAATTGAGAGAGAATAAGCAGGAATATGACTTGAGAACTGCTATATCCCTCCTTAAGAAGACTGCAAACACAAAATTTGTAGAGACTACTGAAGCTCATTTCCGGCTCAACATTGATCCCAAATACAATGACCAACAACTCAGAGCAACAGTGAATCGCTAGCCTTTATCACATTTCCATTTTAAGATTATTTTTTTATTTTATATTGGTTATTCCCATTGATGTTTTTATTCCCATTATCCATAAGTTTTCTGTTTTTTTTGTTGCAGGTGAGTTTGCCAAAGGGCACTGGTCAGACTGTTAGGATTGCTGTTCTTACCCAAGGTGGCTCTTCTCATATCAGCTGCTACTACTACTGTCACTACTACTACCACCACCACTACTATGACATCTATGAATCAATCAATCTATTTATTGAGTTATAACTACGTTTCCACTTCCATGCAAAACTTCTATTCCTTTTCATGCCTGTGGATTTCTCATTATATTCTCTTGGGGCAAATCTCCTAGGCTATTACTGGATGCATATATGTGATTATCTGTGATATATGACTCCAATTTGCATGGACCAAATAAATGAGATTGTCTTGGGTGTTATCCAATTTGAATGAAATTGCATACCTTGAGCCCTTACACCGCAGCTATTGAACTTCTAACAAATTGGGAAGACAATCTTGCCATGTGATGCAATCATCACTCGTGCTGCCTAGTGAAGTTGGGTCAGTTTTGTGTCACCACTTTTACCCATATATCCATTATAATCCCTTAACCTGCTGAACATGTTATTAGCTGGGGCATTCCTATATGAATGTGTCATTTTTCTTTTGCTTTTTAGTATATGATATCCATAAGATGCCTAGAGAGACATTCTCAATCTAAAGTAATTGATTGAATGTTTCAGAGCAAAAAACACTCTACGGTGGTGATTAAAAGTCTGGACTCGGGATTGGAATTGGACTTGCCTGGTCAGAGCCGTAGTTGGCTGTCCAACTTGGTTGAATCTGTGAAAAATACATAGAGGGGCTGTGACCAGGTGACATGCCTGAGTGGGTTTTATCTGAACCTCAACCTATCTGATCTGAGCGACTCATGCAAGTCCAAGCCCGAGTCATTGAATATTTGTTCACTGCTTCATAGTACGAAGATCTGCTGTAGGCATAGGCAATTGTATTGAATCCAAAACAGGGTGCATAATGCATTCCACATGGTAATACCTGCACATAAATTCATCATAGGAAAACCCAAACCTTACTGAACTGGAGTTTGTGACAATACACTATCCAGACAAAGCTAAAAGTACTCAAAATCTAGAGCAAAGGAGCAAGCAAACCTTTTGTATATGTCTCTTATGACATGACATAACTTTTTTGTTTTGTTTACGAAAAAAAAAAAAAAAAAAAAACAAGAATCCAGGTGATCATTGACATTCTAAACTGTTCTGAATTCACTAATTTTAGCAACGATATATTCTATTAAATGTTTACTTTTGGTGGAATGAAAAATTGTCATTTTAAAAAGTCATGGTAACCTTTAATGAAGATATATGAATTGTTCGGCCAATTGAAGTTCACCAATATCATGAGTCTTCCAAAGCGGTTGACTTATATACATGTACATGCATACATATATATACGGAAGCCACTACGCAATGCCTATAGGCGAAAATGAATAGTATTTTTGCTCATAGTCTCGGCGCATTCCAATTTTTTCGGACGGCGTGGATTGACCACAACGGACCTACTATGTCTTTTGCAGCACCGCAACAGACAGGTCCCTTGTGGTATTTTTCACGCAAAAAAGCACGGGCCGCTGCCACAGCTTCCGTAGATCCGTGGTGGTTGTTAAGGCAAAACCGCCACCGACATAGCATGTTTGTATCAGGGCGAAACACTATTCAATTTCACCTATAGGTGTTTTTAAGAGTTTTCCTATATGTATGTATATATCATCCAAAGCAGTAATTCAACTTCAATTCTCTATTGGAACCAACTAAGAATGGATGTATGGAGTTTAAGGAATTTAATTTTTCATTTTCATTATAAATATTCTTTTTCATATGTACTTCATGAACTTAAGTGTTTTTGCCACTTGTATTGCTTCAGGAGAGAAGTTTGATGAAGCAAAAAATGCGGGAGCTGATATAGTTGGTGGAGAAGAATTGATCCAGCAGATAAAAGGTGGCTTTATGGAGTTTGATAAATTGATTGCTTCTCCGGACATGATGCCCAAGGTACACAGCTGTATATTTTGGTGTAACATATTTCTTTTGCTTATTAGCTTAGTGATATTTCTTTTGGAAGGGAAAATTCAGTTTAGATCTGGAGCGATGAAGTTTGTGTCTTTTTCTGGTTGTTTGCTTGAATAATTGGCAAAATGAAAGGGCAAGTTTATAAAGTAGGTGTTGCTTGGCCTTTGAACGGTAGTTTAATCTTCTGCATTTGGAAATATTATAATATGTTGGTTCGTAGTTTTCTTGAAAATTTTAACTAGAATAAACCTTGTTTTCTTTTTTTTTTATAAATTGAAAGAGAACTTCGCTTATATTCTCTTTCCTTGCTTAATTTGTGAGGGAAAAAAAATAAATTGAGGCTTAGAGTTAGACTGAATGTGGGGTTTCAAAATAGATTAAGGGAATGTCAGTGATGGTCATGGTATAGAAAAAATATTTGCACCAAGATCCCACCAACTCCAATGAGGATTAAGCAAGATCCTAAACATGAACTTCATATGTGGCTTTAGTTGATTTGCTTCATATTGATCTCTGTGTACACCGTCAGAATGTAGTTTAATATTTCTCTGTGAAGCCAATTTGCATACGGATAGCCAGCAGGAATTAAATCTCCATTTTGATGATAATGTTCTGTGAGGTACCTCCATCTATCTGAATTATGACGAGATAATCAACGATTCCTTGAATAATCTAAATATCATTCAAAGATGATACTCATCAAAAAACAAATAGTAGTCAATGATGACAATATGGTCAACTCAAAGGGCAGTCATTAATGATATGGCCAAAAACCTCGTACAGAAAATCTTCCCAATGGCCAAAGAGCAGCCATGAATGAGCAAACGTTACTAAAAGAATGATGAGGGGCCCGTCTGCCATCAAGCTATACCCCAAGAGCCACCTACAACCATCTTCGACTATCGATCATTTACCATGACTTCCCTCCTCTTCTATACCTTCAATCTATCTCATCCTCCTGCAAAACCACAACCTCCTCGATCCCTTCCTCTTCCCTTTTGAAACTAACATCATCTCCCCATCTCGTGATCTTCTAGAGACTCAAACAGCTTTGAAAATGACCGTGTCACCTCTGAGGTCTTTTTTGGAGGCTTAATATATGATTCAAGCCCATTAACATTCCTGAGTACAGCCTACCCACTGCCTGTTATTGTTTATGGGAAGTTAGTGGTCCAACTCGACAAGGAAGAGGTTCAATGAGCGAAAATCTGATTCAAGAATGCCTGGATAGGTTTCTTTATAGAATCTAGAACCTAATGGTGCTTCTTGGTCCAAACGCTCAAACACATTGGGTTAATCAAGGTTGAGTTGGACATCTCCCCAAAGATAAGAAATATATCCTTTTTAAGTTTGAATAAGAAGAAGACGCGATCAAGGTCATTGGAGTAGGTTTAGTTCATGGTTTGTAAGAGGAGGGAGAAGAAGAACGAGAAAAAAAGAAGGAGGGGGGGGGGGGTGTTGGTTGTTTTGCACTGGCAAAGGTGGCAAGGAGGCCCATTGCCAGAAAACCCATTAGTAAGATCAATGCCTAGCTTACCATTGTATTGTTGGCCTATAAACGCTTTGGGAATAATTGCCTCTACCATTGCCTGCCTCATCTCAATTGACAACTATAGAAGAGAGAGGAACTGGAAGCAACTTGATTACACAAGTGGTTTAAATCATTTCCCGAATGAGGTTTGCGTTGATAATGGAGACTGGAGAGGATAAGGCACTTGTTCAGTTGATTGAATCATAGTTACCGGGATCTCCTAGGGAGGCCGTCGCTCTAGCTCCAGAAGCTCGATCCCGCAGTTGGGGATGAGGGATCTCAATTTCAGGCATTTTTTTTAGTTTAGGGATCTCGATCCACAAAATTGGGGATCTAGATCCCTGGTTAATGGGATCCAGATCCCTCTCATACAAATCATGGGTCTATGTTCATTTGGAATTGAGCCTCCACCAACTTGGAACCAAGCTTCTTCCATGGAGTGAGATTCATCGGCACGCTTGGATATCATTTACAATGGCAGCGTGGATCACCGACATGTTTTAATTGTCGTGAATGATGATTTGTCTAAACCACTGGTTTATAAAAACGAATCGGTGCCCCGGATCAGGCACTCCAAAAACCCATCCGGATTGGTGAATTGGCGATCTGGATCGGGAATCGGCCGACTCGGTCGGATTAAGCTTTAAAAAAAATCCAAGAAAATTATTAAAATTCATTATAAATGTTGTCTTTTAGGAATCCAATAAGAAATGAGGGTACTATATTGTTAACTCTCATTTTTTTCATCAATTTGTGAGTATTGAGATGTTCTTTCCCTGTATAAACTTATGTTAACTATTAACTTTACATCACACAAAAGAAAAATCATAGAATTATCATGGATAAAGTATATGTATAAAGTATATAATCATACATGGACTACAATAAAGAGTAGACTAAATCGATGAAAAAATAGCCACTAAAATCTCCAATTGACGGAAAACCCTAATCCGCTAAAAAACCCAAATTGTTACAACCTAACTAACTATAATCCAAAATTATTACAACCTAACTAACTATAATATTATATACTGAAATTAAAATTGTTGGTTTACATTTGTAATTATTTTATTGTACAAATAATAACAAATCCAAAATATTTTATAATATCATAAAATTTAAAATATATTATTGGCAACTGTGAGAAAAATAGTACATTACATGATTTATAATGCAAAAATTAATAAATAAAATAAAAGATTTGGTTATCAATATAGAAATTATTAGAATGTGTACCAATTTTCGAAATAACACTTTAATTTTTCAAAATTTTAATTTTTTAGATTTCTAGAGTAAATTTAGTAAAAGAGATTGTTAATAGAAAGAGAGAGATTTCAAATGGAATAAATTTTTTTTTTTTTAACGACTTTATTTTCTGCTTTTTTTTTTTTAGAGCAAAAATTAAATAAAATTACACGTTGGCTAGGATTCGAACCTCAAACGTCTAAGAGGTAAGTAGGAGTGATAACCATAAAGCCACGTCTCGGCGTATGTATAAAGTTTCTATATTAATAATACTTATTCAATTGTCTTAATTTAATGCACTGTTTGTGGGAATTATTCCACATCGAACAATGAGAGTTACATTTATACATATAAATGGTTTTGTCACATACATCTAAGCGCATGCGTGAAAGCGCGGGGGCATCGCGGGCGGGTTCAAAGTTTGCCCCAACGTGTTGCCAACAGGAATGAAGGTTTGCCACATATTATTGAGAATCGGCGATATGTGACGTCATATGGACCAGTTCTCACCGGTGTATGACGTCATACCGGTGGTTCACTATTCAGAACCGGCGGTTTTGTTATAGAACCGGGCGATTCTCGATTTTTCAAAGTAATTGGCACGGGGTTACCGATTCTCGTGCCGACTCGGGCGAGTCTGTTGCGACTCGCCGATTTTTAAATCACTGGTCTAAACTATGAGCCATACAGAATTTGAAGGTTCTTTATTTTTTTTATGACCTACAATTTTTGTAAAGGCTTTGATTTCTTATATATTTTACAGTTCACACACCTTGTGAGTTGTGACTTATGACTAGTTTCAAAGAAAGGTGACAAGAGACGGTAGGAGAGAAGGAAGAAGACGGAAAAAGATAATAAGGATAGACAAGTTGCGGTATTATAGTTGAGGAAAGAGGTCGCTGTTGATAGGCTTAATTTCCTTGAGGCTAATTCATTGGGTCCTGTCCACCCCTCTCTGTTTTTTCTCTTTTCTTTTTTTTCTTCATTTTTTTTGGGGGTGGGAGGGAGGGCGAGAGAGAGCCCAATGTACCCCATTGAGGAATTTGGTGAGAATGAGAGAGTGCAGAAAATCCCCAAAGTGTGTACATCTGTGTGTGTGTGTATGTGAGAGAGAGAGAGCGAGAGAGAGAGGGAGAGAGAGCTAGCATTGTGAATGCACACAATGCGAAGTAGTGAAGCCATACCTCACCACTTTTTGAGAGAGAAGAAAGAGAGTTAGGGTATGAAGAGTTCTATTTATCATTAACAATATAAAGGAGGAGAGGGAGAGAGAAAGCGACAGATGGAGACCTTTGCCCGTCGACGATAGCACCCAATGACATCTAATTGTACTGACCAAAAGGAGGGAAAATAAGGTCAGGTACACTGAGATTCAAATACTTGTATTGGAACTTGTTCTAAAACTATACCCTAGTTAAGTGATCTTGCGGAGCTTCAATTCTAAGATTCACAGACCCTGATCCCATATATTTTATTAATCGATTCTTGACAAGTTTAAATCATGCTCCCTACATGTTGGGATCTCAATCCCTTTACCACATGATGTAAGAATCTTGATCCCTCCACTATGGATCTTCGAGCATTGCTCGACCCATCCCCCCTCTTCTGCTCCACAATCTTCCCTCGCTCTTGATCCTGGAAACTATGGATAGCATATGGAAGAATCCCCTGTTGTGTGGAACATGCTGGTACATTGGGCAGTGGCTTCAAATGCAACAACCTCTACGACGGCTCAAACAAATCACCGGCCAAGCAACTGCAAGCATGGAGAATGTTGGAAAGAAAGAGATTCAACAAGAAGCTAGGGGAGAAAAATGACAAAAATCAAGATCTTACACCTGCTAATAAATGGTAAAAATTAAATCACGAGAAACGAGCCTAGTAAAAGAGAGCTCTAAAAACGATGTGGGAGCTTCGTAATAAACAAACCAAGAAATTGGAATCATCAAATATTGCTCAATATTTTTTACTATTGCTCAACATTTTTTACTATTGCTCAATATAAACAGGAAAATCAAGAAAAAGGAAAACAAAAACAATGAAAAGATGGTGGTAAGCTGGAAAAATGAGTGGATTTTTGTCACAAACTGCCCAAAAAACAAGCTGAAACCATGAATGTGAGTGATGACATAACTGAAGCTATTGATGTGGTGTCACATGCTGATGTGGTTGAAAGGCAGCGAATGAGAACAAACTGACTCACAAG